CCCCCCCCCCCCGAAAAAAAAGCTCCATATCATTGCCAATAGCCAGAAACTTCATAGGCACCTTTACTTCTTGGTAGCTGAAGCTATAATACCCGGTTATCAAGATAGTTGTCATAATTCTCTTTATACAGTGTTGCTGTTAAGAATGCTAATGTATATTTTTTGTCTGTCTTTTGTATCCAAGGGAGATGTGGGTAAAGAGATGTACATAATTAAAGAGGGCCGCCTGGCAGTGGTTGGGGAGGATGGCGTCACACAGTTAGCTGTTCTGACAGCAGGAAGTTGCTTTGGTGAAATCAGCATCCTAAACATCAGTGGCAGCAAGATGGGGAATAGACGCACGGCTAATATTAGGAGCCTGGGATATTCTGACCTGTTCTGCCTTTCCAAACAAGACCTGATGGATGCGCTACAGGAGTTTCCCCATGCCAGGGCACAGCTGGAGCAGAGGGGGCGGGACATCCTGATGAAGGAGGGACTTCTGGAGGAACTGAATGTGTCTGCAGGGGAGGAGTTGGAGACGAAGGTGGAGAGGCTAGAAACCAGTCTTGATCGGTTGCAGGTCAGTACTGTTATGCTGAATATTGTAGCTGGTGGTCTTGTTTCTCATAACACAGTTTCTTGCATTATGGCTCTTTGTTTTTGAAAAATTAGAATGACTAATAACATTGATGTTACTTTCAGACGTGTTTGGCCCGTCTGCAGAGTGAATTCAACTCATCCCAGCTTCGACTGAAACAGCGAATAACGGCCCTGGAAAGCAACATCCCCACAGCAGCAACTGGCAGCGGCTTCCTGTCAGATGCTGACGGCAATGAGAGTATTTCTGGTGGTGACAGTGTGCGAAGTGAAATTACCTTCCGATTTTAAATAATGTCTTAAATTAGTTTTCCTGAAATATTTAGCATAATTTCTTGTTAGAAGTTTCTTTTAGTTTGAAGCTTTCTTAATACCACTGAACAGTTGCTCACACCTTTATGATTAAATATATAGATAAAATTGCCAGTATACAGTAGAGTAATGCAATAAATAAACAATGCTTGAGAGAGAGGGAACCTAAAGACGAAAAATACAGCTGACTTATGTCCTAATTATGTCTTAATCTACTATTTGGCATGCATTAAAGGTACAGTATGTAAAATCTCACCACTACATGTCAGCAGATTGCGATGTGAGAATGTAATCAAATTGTTTATCAGAGGGAAAGTGTGATTTTTAGGACACTTAAGCCTCACATTAGCTGGTATAATGTTAGCTTATGTTTTGTTGTTGTTGCATTTTTTAGTGGCTTTTGTTAGCTGTCTGAAAACAGCAGGTTTGCATGCCTAACCTGTTGACACTAGCTACCTGTGACAGTAATGAAAATGTTTAAGCCCTAAATTCATTTAAGGACATGACGCTTGAGGCGAGGAGGAAGAAAATGAGGTGCAAATGAGGAAGGAGAGTGGGCAAGGGTGTAGGAGGTGAATGGAGGCATAATGAGAATGAGAACAATTTTGCCACTGATTTCTAGCCACATACATAAAAAGACGATTACAGCGATGTCCACTTTGGCCACTGTATTTAAGATTTGTGTGACAAAAAGGCAGCTTCCACAAAGCCACTTTGTATTTTTCATGGATTAATTATGAGTTTATGAGAATGGACCAGTTTGTTGGTAGACTTAATTCAGCTATAAGTACAATAGTAGTTTTATGTTAAATAACTTTAAAAAAAAAATACTTACTATACCATCAAATCATCTTAAACGTAATCACATAAGTGTGAAGGTTTTTCTGGTCATGTGGTTGGTTTGGTTTGTCTTTGTTAGTATGCCTGCTGGCAGGATTTTTCCCATGGAGCTTTTATCAGTGGTGGGCCTTGCTCCAACTTAGAAATGATTAACTTAATCATCTGAAAAAATCCTCTTGTTCTCAAGAAATAATAATACATTTGGATCAGATATCCTGGGGATTCAGTTCATGGTGTGGAGGGACTTTCAGCCCTGTAAATGATTTCAGACTGGGTCCCTCTTATCTACGTTATGCTATCATACAGTGTGCATTTTTAGTTTATGAGGACTCCTCCTGTTCAAAGTGTTCCACTGATCACATTTTCTGTCACAGCCCATTTCCTTTCATTTCATTTCATCCGCTCTAATTAAAGAGATTAATACAGAGCATGTCTTTCATCCTTCTGTCTAAGTGATCACAGATAAAACAGCATGAGTCATTTTATTATTTTCAGTGTTTTTAGCATGCAGTTTAGTCTATTTCTCAGAAACTCTGAAAAAGTATGAACAATTTTGTTATTAAACGGTATATTTTTAACACAAATACTGAACATTTATTACAGTTTTTCTCAGTCGCTTTGGTGCATTTCTCACAAC